TCTTCTCCACTACAAAAAAAAAAAAAAACTTACCCTTTTCCATCCTTGCTCAGAAAGGGGGCCCGTCGCCTCTCTCTTCCCTCCTCTCTACTTCTTCCCTGCAGAGAATTAAGAAGCTCTCTTCCTTCCTCTCCCTCTTGCTCCCTTTCAAGCCAGATGGCCAGCCTGGATGCCCACCACAGATGGCCACTCCAAATGCCTTCTCTGCCAGGCATTTAAGAAGCAGACCACTGGCAGAGGGCCACCCGGCTCCAGCAGGCGCTCTGGCAGAGAGCCCTTGCCATCCCCACTCAGGGAGCTCCCAAGCCAGGAAAGGCCAGGAAGAGACCCACCTCTCCAGAAGAGGATCCCTCTGGAAACACAGCTACCTTGAAGAAGAAGAGAAACCACGCCGTGAAGGAACCTGCTCCCCCCGCCCCATCACTGGAGCTCACCCAGGAGCACCTGCGGGCACCAGACCCAGAGGTCCCTCTGGATGTGACCGCTGCAATCCCAGGCACAGATTCCCCAGAGGCGCGCCCCACCTCAGTGGCCAGGAAGCAGCTCCCCATGCCTGAGACCCCATCGACATGAAGCCTGCCCTCTGTGCTGGCCGCAGAGGCTGCTCACATCTATGCTGGCTGCGGACCCTAGCATTCTCCATCTGGCACTGGTGCATAGAGGGTGCATCACCATCACAGCCATCCATGTTGCAGGACACTTAGACACCATGGCAGACTCTCTGAGCCACCCCTCGCACACGAGTGGGAACTGAAGGCCTCCGTCTTTTGCACACTTTGTGAGGAATGGAGGCACCCCAAGTGGACCTCTTCAACACCATCACAAATTCCAGATGCGACCAATTCTGCTCCAGGATGGGACAAGGCAGGGGGTCCATGGGGGATGCCTTTCTCCTCAAGTGGGAGGGGGTCCTCTTCTACGTCTTCCCTCCCTTCCCTCTGATAACCAGGGTGCTATCCAAACTCCAGAAAAATGGGGTCAACTGCATCATGGTCATCCCCTGATGGCTGAGAATGCCCTGGCTCCCCCTCCTTCTCCGCCTGTCCAAGCAGACATTCAGCCACCTCCTCCTCCAGCACAACCTCTTGTTACAGGACGGAGCAGAGTCCTACTCCTCGACACCAGGACTCTCTGCCTGACAGCTTGGAGGATCGCTCCATGAGTGACCTTTATGGTGCCTGCCCACCAGCAGTTGCCTCCATCCTGCAGGCTGCTCTCATGCCCTCCACCTGCCAATCCTACCTAGCAAAATGGGAAGCCTTCACTGTTTCCATAGGGCCTCTGCCACGATTAAGCACATTCTGGACTACCTACAGATCTACAGACCCACCTTGCCGCGGGCATTTCCCCCTCCTCCCTAAGGGTTCACCTGGCAGCCTTTTCACACTTTCACCCCCCCCCCTTCCAGGGGTCCTCTCTTCACCCACCCCCAGCACCCAGCTTCCTCAAGGGCCTCCAAAAGATCGCCAGCCCAGTCTTGCCCCACACTCCCTCCTGGACCCTTTCTGTGGTTCTACAATCCATCACAAGGAGGCCCTTTGAACCCATGGCTATGTCAGACCTCTGCCTTCTCTCCTGGAAAGCTGTGTTTCTCATAGCCATCGTGTGCCCCTGCCATGCCCTGCAGATTGACGCCTCCTTCTAGGCGTTCCACAGGGATTAGGTTGTCCTTTGCCTTGACCCACTCTTTGCTCCCATGGTGACCTCTCCCTTCCATGTCAAGGAGGACCTTGTTCTTCCCGCCTTCTTCCCCAACCTTTCTCTCCTCCACCTCCTCAATGCCAGGAGGGCCTTGCCTTCTGCAGGGCTCAAACTATGCCACTCTGAGCTCCTCTTCATGTGCTACAAGGGCCCCAAGGTGGAGGAACTGTCTCCACCCAGGAACTATCAAGCTGGGTCTCCAGCACCACCTTTCTTGCCTACAAAATGGCAAAGATTCCCCTCCGTGACTGCCTGCGCTCCCACTCCACCCATGCACAAGCTGCATCCACTTTGCTCCTGGTTGGCATCACTCCAAGAGGTCTGCAAGGCTGCCATGTGGTCTACGCCCTCAACCTTCATCTGTCACCACCAGCTGGACATCTGTGGCAGACAGGGCTGTACATTTGGGAGGATGGTGCTCTCTGTGCTTCTCTGGTGATGACAGCCCCCTCCTCCAGGATGGTAAGTTTGCTAGTTGTCCATGTGTGTGATGCACAGAGACCATGAAGAAGAAAGGCAGGTTGCTTACATGTAACTGTCAATCTTCAAGTGGTTATCTGTGCATTCACACAACCCGCCCTCCATCCCATGGACTATCGTCAGCATGTCACCCTGTGCTGACTTGGGCAGGATGCAGTCACCTGTGTGTCCTTTACAGGTTCCCTTGGATCCCTTGCATGCCTGGGGCAGCGTCTTCAAGTGATTGAGGGACTGGGTGGGAGCCCCCTGCCCCTTATGCTACCTAGACAGGGGCGGGGCTGGGCTCCTGCCCACTCCATGGTGCCAAGCTTTGGAAGTTTCTCTGATCGAGGCTTTGCACTCCGTGGCAAAGCCCATGTGTGTGAATGCACAGATGACCACTCAAAGAATGACAGTTACAGGTAAGCAACCTCCCTAAGCTATCATGATTTTAGCATGCTTGGCAGCAGGATGATTGGCTAGCATGCTACTCTGAGCAAGCTCTGCTGACCTGCCAGAGTCACTGTCACATAGGGCAATTCTCCTGGCACAATTTATGAGTTACATTCTCCCAAGCATCTGTATTCTAGATGCAGACTTGTTCAGGGACAGGTAAGCATGGTAACAAATGGATCTCCAGGGTCTCAGGGTTTTCCACATTACCTGGTTTCTGAGAGTCTTTAAACTCAAAGAGCCACATGTGGCTCACAAGCCTTGGCCACCCCTGGTATATATAGTCTGCATGTACACATGGCATACTCTCCTTTATCAGAAATGGGGTTTTCTATTGGCTCATCCACACTGATGACTTTTTGTTTTTTACCCCTTTAAGCGTGTTGTGTGTTTTATTCCTTTATTTGTTGTAAGTGTGCATGTGTGTATTTTAATATTATACACAAACGGGGGTGGAGGGAGTACCTTTCTACATGATTCTTACAGCTACTCAGTATATAATACATTTCAGACATAACAGGTGGGAACCAGCAATAAACAGTATATTATTATCATCATCGTTATTTCTATTCTGTCCCATTGCTGGAGCTATGGTATTTTGCAACAATCCATAAAATAGATTAATAGAATACAAAAGCAATTCATAAAAACAGTGAAACTGTCAAATGTTTAAAACGCCTAAAATAAACAGCAAAGACTGCTTCTGTAAAAACACATGGATGGGAAATCCCTCCATGCCTCTGGGTATCCAAGTAAGTCTTTAAAAGTCAGTTTAACCTCACTCTGTAAAGATGACAAGCCTGGTGCCAGGCAGGCCACAGTTGGGAGGCTATTCCATAGATGAGGGCCCACCACAGAGAGCCCTCCCCCTTGTTGCCCTCCTCTGAATCTCACAGTTGGCGCTGAAGGAAGGACTCAGAGCTTGAACATAGTGTCTGGATACTCTGACAGGCATTGTGGTCCGAAGCCATGTAAAGCTTTCTGCCCAGTCTCTTATCATGGTTAGGATCTGCAAAAGAGTAGCCAAGCTAGTTCAGAAGATTCACAACAGGGGAGCAAGATTCACAACATCCAAATTTATAGCACTATTCTGGAGTTTGCAAAAAGGAAGAGTGATTTAAGGATGAAAGAAATCCTTTCCCACCCTCTTGAAGCTTTCCCTTATTATGCTATGTAATGTCGAAGTGTTCAGGTGCATGGCTGGCATGAAGTTACCAGAGAGTAAGAAAACAACTTTTCTCTTTTCCCCCCACTTTATTCCCTTGTGAAACCTTCTATAGTATGGGGCGAAAAAACTATGATGATAATTGTGATAACTTTGAAATGGGTTTAACTGCAGAATTTGTATCTATCCAACCCTAAGGCATCCAGGATACCGTAAGCTGTTAGGCACCAAATCAAGCTAGTTGCCTCCCTTGCATTTCCATTTTCTTTTTCAAGCCTCAACTTTCTGTGGCTCAAGAAACCTCTGTTTTGCATAGATTTGGGAAGCCCTAAGCATCAGTCATTCCATTTTTAGAAATCATTTTTCCTTTGAATATACAACTAATTATTTTCCTTTGGAGTTATAACCTGCATTGCCTCAAGTGCAGTACCACTGACTCCTTGTGGGAAGGCTTCACCTCTAAGCCGATAAAAGAAGGATCACTCAAGCTTGGCACGGGGTGAAATGATGATACAGCAATATTCTGAAAAAGCGGGAAAGAGCACTGAATGCAGTGTTAATATTGAAACAGTAGTTATCATACAGGAGAGTGATTAAAAACTTAATCATCTAAGCATTACAGCAGACAGCAATATTGAGAGCACAGTTGAAAGTGAACATCGGCAGCAATGGAAACAGGAATCTGTGCATCCAGTAAAGCTTGTTGAAACAGGAAGAGCCAACAGTGCACTGGCAGCACCTGAAAGGAGACAGCCCTAGTCTGACCATAAGCGTGTTGTGTTAACTGCATGCAATTTAAGACTGCAGCTCACCATATAATGGGCCATTTCCAGTGTGGTCCTCTGTGCTAATCATTTTGTCAGTTTCCTGCTCTAAGCAAACTGAATGGACAAAAATATATTCTTCAGTCTGGTTTCTAAATGCCTAATATTTTAACAGGGATTAGGTCTTTGGTTCTGCTCAATGTGCAAAAGGTATCAGCTTTGACAAAGCAATAAATGAAGCAAAACAGGTCTCGATCTGGCCAGCACAGTGGGTGGGGACAGCCTGGGAGCTCTTGGCCCCCTGATGGCCCATGAGGAAAAGAAGGTTCTAAGTGAATAACGAAACATAGTAATGAATAACGAAACATAGAAAGAAAAAGAAAAGAAAGAATGTATTTGAGAGGATATTTCGCAGCTTGTCTAATGTATCAATTACCTCTTTCTCTTTTGTTTTTCAGCAACGATGATGCAGTTAACCAGATGGCTGTGGCTCCTTTCCCATTACCCTCTAGCTCCCAGTCTTCCACTGAAGTAAGTTTTTTTTAATGTCTCCTAAATGGAAACAATTAATCATAATTAGCAGGTTAATATAAACCCAGACATTCATCTAATTAAACTCTGAGCTGTATGTGTGGAACTGAGCAGAACATGAATTTTCCCTCATTATAAAATAGCCGGTATGGCACAAAGTGTACAGATCACTTTGCTTCGGGGGGTAGTTTGCTAAATAGGTAATAGACTTAACATTTGCACAGTTTAAATGAGAATCATGCAAGATAGTGCTGCACTAGACTGAACACCTGATGCCTGCAGAATGTTGTCACCTCCCAGGGCTCACTGAGGCTTTCACAATTCCTTGGGGTAGCCTCTCAGCATCTTGCCATATCCTGCTTGGGGGGTGGGGGGAGTTCTGCCTGTTCCCCAGACTGGAGCTCTGGTGAGCTATGTGCTCACTGTCTTTTTTTACGTGTACCTTTGTTACAAATCTTCTCTGTTCTCCCCCCTTCCTTTCCTTCAGGGAAGTGGGCATGGAGTGCTTATGGTGGCCAAGGAGACCTTGGTTTTCATGCTTTGTCAACAGGACAGTACAGCAAGGCTGGAGCTTTTCAGCAGGGCTGACCTGCTGGCCCAGGCACCAGTTGACAGCCTGCAGCCTCACATGTTCTCACTGACAGCCTGGAGGCAGAGCATCAATAGTAGGGCAACTAGGCTGTTGCCAGCAGCCCTTTCCACTCTCCTGACCTGATATAAACCTTTTACTAATTAGATGTATTCCAACATTTAGAAAGCATTCCCGTGTTAAATACAAGGGAAGGAATCCCAAAGAAGGGCAGCTTCATGGTATCCAGGATTTGCTACAAACAGGCCCATCAAAAAAGCTGAGCACAGACACCCTGAAATGTGAGGCAGCAGCCCAAAATAATGTTTGGGGCTGTAGGAGTGGAGTGGGCCTGTTTTCCCTTCCCTGTATTCGCAGATTCCCACAAGTGGCAATTTTGTTGACTCTTCCAACAACCTTAGGTGTCCTACATGCAAATTAAACTGGATTCTTACAGCATGTCTGGCAGCAGCCCCTTGGATTTTTCCTCCTCATCGCCACGACAACCTACTTGTTCACCTGCCTCTCACTCCAGCCCACACAGTGATGATGGTGAAAAATGTTGTTGCAGATGGCAGTGCCTACTTGTGACTGGCTCTTTGCCTTCAAATGTTTGCAAGCAAATGGCCAGGAAGAAGTTGAGGAATGAGAATGGCTGGTAGCAATGCTGGTGAGAAGGCAGCGTCACAGAGGGAGAGGACACATTGAGAGTGCCCTACCAAGAGGCCCTACAAATCCATGAAGTGCAATAAACAATGTACTGTCAAATCCTAAAATGACTGACTTTTTAAAGCCATAAAAAGCCTGGGGGAAAAGGCTCCTACAAAGCTTGAGCAGGGAGGGAGCTTCCGAAGCCCTTCAAGAACTAAAAAATAAAAAACCATGTGGCACCAGAAATGCTTCACTCTCCACTCTTGGCAGGCCAAGCTGGGAGGCAATTCCTGGAAACTTTACTGTGAAGGGTGTTTTCCTCCCTCCCATTCGCCGAGGAGCCTTTTTTGCATTAAGATTTCAATTAATGTCTTCGCATTGCAAGAACAATCTGAAGAAACTTTTGGCGTCATGTGCTCCCCATCACTCCTCCATCAAAAGCCTTTCCTGCTTCCATTAGCTCTCATCCATAGACAGAAACAAATTCTTGTGTTACAGGTTTGTTACAGACCTTTAGCTGTCCCAAAGATGGACTTCAGTTATCTGGCTAGTGGCCACAGCTTTAGGAAGCAGAAATGAACGCAAAGCTGGAACTTTCCCATTGTTTTCTTTGGAAAAGAGGCAGTTAATGTTAGCGGTTAATCAAAGATAGACTGGACATTCACATGGTAGGCATGTCATAAGCAGAGCCGGCTGGAGCTGAGGGGTCAGACTAGATGGCCTGGGAGGCCCTTCTGACTTACTCTGTTTCTATGTTAACTCCATGCTTAGAAATGGTGAAGGATGCTGCAGTTGTCTCTAAGTGGCTACCATTAAAACAAGTGTGGCATTTCTCTACTTTCTCTTTTCTCAGGTGCTTTGCATTGCAAGCAATCACCTTTAAAAGTGTCCTCAGACTGTATGAATAGAAAAGGTATAAATAAAGCTTCATAAAACATATGATACTCAGAGAGATGCTGTGTATGGATTGAAGGTTCTTTTCAATAGAAAGGTTCTCGATGCATTACACTAAAACTTTCGGAAGGTTTCCACCTTCCCAACAAACAGGTGGTTAAAATCTTCAGTGTTGACATAATAGGACATTGTTATGTGAGACAAGTTTATTTTATTTCTTAGTTCCTTGATTTGCTGTATCATGCATTCAAAGTAGTAATTTCTCTGTTCAGTAGAAGCCTTTTTCAACTTAAGTGCCATTATAGTTGCAAGAAGTATGTCCTCAAATTAGTCTTACTTTCAAGCGCCTGCTGAACATGCTGGTTTGCTGGCTTCAAAAAAGAACTTTGTATTCTTATTTACTAATAGTGCTGTGACAGATGAAACACTGCTGGGTTTCCAATTTTCATCAATACAATCTTACTCTTAAAGTAAAATTGTGTGGCATAGTAGCAGAGAGCCCAACTGGTACTGAATGGGGAAACTTGTATATGAATGATATTTTCTCGGGGCACACTTTCGGTATTTCAATTACTCATATAACTTACAAACAAATGTGCTGAAAAGGTCCAAGGACAAGTTTTCTCTCAAAAAAGGATGAATGGCATTTTGATCATGAAACCAAACTTTGCTCATAATCTGCTAATCATAGAGAGATAGAGTGGCAGAACCTGGACAGATAATACCAAACCCTAGTCTTCTTGATTACAAAAGTCTGTGGTGGCTCTTCTGCCTCTGATTTCTGATATTTCACCAAGCATTTCTGGTAATTCTCTATTCTGAACCGTAAGGTCTGTAAACATGAGGGTGCATGTAATATAAAAGTTTAGATCTTAGGATGTTGAAAGTTAATATTCACATTAAGGTGTTATTTCAGCAGCACCAAATATATAGCAAATATATCAGAGAATTAATTACTTGCAGGTTTTAAGAAACAAAATTAAGCATTTGCAATTTGAATATCTTTAAACAAGGCACATTAATCCTTATTCAAGAAACCTCATTATAAGCACATCCCACTTTGAAAGTATTTTCCCTGCATTCACAGTAACCAGCTTAGTTAATTGGAGTTGTTACTATATTCCTGGAGGATGGAATCCGGCCTTGATTGGCCTTACACTAAATAGCATTTCCCCCAGTCTGTCCTGCTGTAACTAGATGTATGATCCACTGGTTGCATTCACACATCATGCTAAGTCACCCTGTGAATAAGCAATGCAGTGCAGATTGTTTGTGGGATTTTCTACAGAGTGGTCAGCAAATGATAGGACTGACTGTGACTTGTTCTACCCCTGCTTCAACCTTGGTTCTCTTTGTTCAATTCCCCATTTTATTGCTTCCCATTTTTGTTCCTGCTTTTTAAAAATTCGTCAGAGCCTCAAAATTGCACAAGTGGGGTTATTTAAAAAGTAAGGTATCCAGAAAATTGCACAATTGTGTTTGCAATGTTATTATTATTGTTGTCAGTTTTTCACCAGTGTGCTTTCAGGGCTGTCTGATATGTGAAGTCTTGCTTGGAAAATTTTTCTTGTATGTTTCAACTGTAAAGGGAAGTGGGTAGGTGGAGCAGGTAACATACTTGGAAACTGAGCGGTGAGACTACACTTAGACTAATTTGTACACAGTTGCCAGAAACCATTTGCTAAGTTGTCAGTTGAAAAGAACCGGAAAAACTGGAGAAAGTGGCACAAATAGACACATGGAACATTAGCTTTTGCTATTCCTACCAAGCAGCTCACCAGCCAGTCCCCACATCCCAGGATGAAATTGCTGTTCCAGGTTTGGATGATATGCCAGTATTGTAGAGTGAATGACCTCTAGAAAAACCCATGGGTTGTCATGGTAGCCTGTTACTGAAAATAAGCTATCCCAAAAGAAATGGTGTTGGGTTAAATGACACTGCAAGCAATTGTGATAATTTACCTGTGATGAATTGTTGTGTCATGAAAACTTAATCACTGATGAAATGAATCAGAAAGAGATCAGATTTGTTTGGCCATTTCCATCATGTACAGAATTCTACAGTGAACTGACTTAATTATACTGTTAGACCAGTAATTTGTAATTGGTGTATCATTTTAGCCTGCTTGACCATAATGGGCACTGTGGTAAAAATTCAAGAGTACATGTGCTAAATGTTTCATTTTAATGATCAACATGAAACAATATTAACTGTTTCATGTGTCCTAACAGGAAGTAAAGAATATTCTATGGCATCTGGGGATACTTTAGATGTGCAGGCATGTAAGACAGAAAGCAGCAAGACTGACAATTTATCTTCCATATGTAGCTTTTTATCTGGGATCTGCAGCATAGGTCAATTTTAATTTCTCCCCATGTTTCCCCAGTGCTTCAGATAGGGAGGCCACACCTTGTCTGATGTTTGGTGGAACAGTTTCTGTTCTTGATAATCCACAGTAGTCATATTTTTCATTTCTTACAGATTAATACAATGTTGCATAAATTAAACAAGATTATTGGAGAATTCCCCAGAAATGAGAAGGGAAGGACAAAAGTTAATAATTTGTCTCTTTACATTTACCTAGACATCTTTTCTAATTCAAAGAAATGTATCAATGCACACCTTTAAATTAGTTTTTCAAAACCTGTAAATAAATGAAACACAACTTTTCAGGATAGTGCAATCACATTCTTTGCTCCATTCTTGTGCAAAGTTTCCTACACATATATAGATGTGGGTTGAGAAATGTGGTAGAGTTCCTCCAAATCAGAACATGGGAGTTTATATAACCACCAAGTTAATGTTATCATTTAATGAGGTTACACAAAAAATATAAAAGCCAAATGGCCTGGATCCAGACTACTTACCCGTGTTTTAGTGCCATCAAAAGTAGCTGGATTTCAGTGAGTTAAATCTAATTTATTCCATTGATTTCAATGTGACTAAAGTATAACTTAGTTATAGATCTAATCCAAAATTAAACTTTGGATTAAACTTGTAGAAGATAATTTACCTGAAGAGTTTTAGCCACATGTAGCCATGAGCTGCATAGTCTACATGTATGTGACTTGAGCATTGTGCTTTTGATGTGAATTTTAAAAAAGGCTATGATAAAAATCAGTTGGGTTTGAGCATGTCATGTACATCTTTGCACTGTACTTTAATTTTAATTTGTTTTATTAGGATGTCAGTAACAAGGTTGACAAACAAGTGGAAAACCAGCAAGCTATGGCAGAGCAACCTGCAGAAAATGTATGTATATCTATCCCTTTTAGTTTTTTAAAATGTGAAAGCATTCTATGTACTAGTTCTCCTTTAATTTAAAAAGTGTTAATTTTTTAATAGCAACATTTAAACATACTTACAAAAAAGTCAGAAATAGGAATAACAGAATATTATTAACAGAATAGAATAAATAGGAATAACAGAAAGCTATATAAACATGAATGTTATTTTATTTATCAGCACTGTCAGGATTTTAACAGGCCTTTAAATCTTATGCTGAATAATATTTTGCCAGTATGCTTTTTAAATCAAGATGTCTTCAAGCACAGCATGAAAAGTAGGAGGATCATTACTTTTACAGTAGTTAAATGTTGTATTACACATCCTTCATCTATCTGTTTAAACATTTCTTTGTGGTTTAAGCTGCTTATTTGGGTTTCAGAAGATGACTTAACAGTTCATCTACTTTTATTTCTTATTCTCTTTTCATTCCTTCCAGGTCCATAACCAATTAAAGCAATCAAAGTCTTCAACAGTAATCCCCATCAGTTTACATGAGATATCTTTGCCACCTGCATTCTCCTATTCTTCAGAGACAGAATTCACCAGCAGAAGTATGAGCTAATTATCTCCATCTGAGCAATACATACCTATTTCGCATTCATTACTAACTCTTTTTGGATGCTTGTAGCAACAATATTTCTCATTTTTACATTTAAAAAATAGATTAACAAATATAATTATTTGGATATAATTTACTTTGAAAAGCAATTCCTTTTAATATAATGCAAGATAAGGATGCTTTTTCTTCAATGTTGTTATTACAGAAATGTAAGTTGGAATGTTTTTTCTTTTATTTTTTTTCCTCCTTCATTTGGCCTACATGCTGTGGATTTATTGAGCTGTTTGTTACTTTAAGATTGCACTGTCATTAATTCTATTCAGTGTCTTAGATCCTAAGATAACTTAAAGAGGTTGATAGAAAGAAACATTTTCTAGAAGGTAGCTGTGTTATAGTCTTAAAGACTAACACATTCATTCTGGCATCCACTTTCCTGTACAGTAGCAATGGAAGGATAATTGCCTGTCCTAATATAAGTTAACCTAAAAAAAGAAATTCTTCCCAGCAGCTTCTTAAGCTCCATATCACATTGTTCAGGAAGAACCCCAAAGCCTCCAGATAAGGGTTTTGGAAGACACAGGTAACTGCAGGGGAAAGAGGGTATAGAAGGGTTTCTTTGGTTCAGTTGTTTATGTTAACTTTGTCTCTGCCTTGGATCTGGAGTTATCATTTCTATAAAAACTACTGTGGCTTCTGGAGAGCTGCAAGGTACAGAGGGCTCATGAAGTTTGCTAATCATCTGGTAAGAGGGGCTCCAGGAATTTTAATAAGTGTCTGGGCAGGATGGAGGTAGAACTGAAATTCTGTTCATCGGGTTAAAAACAAACACACAGAGAGATTGTATGAAAGTACTTTGCTAGAGGAACACAAGCACAGTAGGAAGAAGGGTCAGTTACACACTTTCCTGTCTGGTGCACTAATGTATATGATGGTACATAAAAAGTCATCCTCTCATTTCAGCTTAAAGTACTATCTCCATATTCCACCACCACATTCTACTGTATGTTAAGACCAAGTTTTGTTGTCAGTGTTCATGTTTAAATTGTACACTGTCCTGAAATCATGACGCAAGCTTGCTGGGTGACTGGGCCAGTCACACACTCTCAGCCTAACCCACCTCGCAGGGTTGTTGTGGTGAGAAGAAAATGGAATGGAGGAGGGCTACATAAGGTGTCTTGGGTCCCTTGCAAAAGGAAAAAAAGACGGGATATAAATGCAGTAATAAAAGGGAAATAATGTATGAACTAAGCTCAGAAATTATAGCCATAATAATTAGGTAATCAAGAAGATACGCTTTAAGGTTTAAAAAACTTGTCACAGCTGATATTGCATGGCTGTGTGAATACATCAGTGTTGTGAGTGAAGAACACACACACTGAGAGAAATGAAAAGCAAAATCTTTACTGGACCTTAAGTGGCAGAAGATCCAGAAGAATGTCTGATGATTTTTTTAATTACTGGCAGCTGTCATGTCATCTGTTCTGAATACTATCAGGAATGAAAATCAAGAAAATGCCTTGCAAAACAGCATCCTTATGGCTGCAGTCTTTGAAGTTTTATTTACTTTAAAATGCATTGAAGTGACTCTAGCTGGCTCCACTGAGGTCAAGAAGACCTCAAGAGTCACTTCAAGGTCTTCATTGCAATTAATCAGAAATTTGTTTTTCCACTTTCAATTAATTTGATGAGGGTGTGCCTATAGAAACAGTCTATTCTGATGCTGCTGTTTTGTGTAATGCAGTGATGGGGAACCTGCAGCCCCATGACATTGTTGAATCACAACTTACATCATTCCTCACCACTGGTCACACGGGCTGCAATTGCTGGGAACTGAAGTCCAACAAGAACTACAGATTCTTTACACCTAGTATAGTACTTGTTTCATTGATTAGTACCTTTTTTCTTTGTTTGCAGGCAGCTTTCCACCTCCTTTGACTGATCCAGCAACATGCCCGATAGTTCCTGGACAAGAAATGGTTATAGAAATATCCAAAGGCCGATCAGGGCTTGGGCTCAGTATTGTAGGAGGGAAAGACACACCACTCGTAAGTTACTTGTTGGCTATTCTTTATACATGCATGCACACACACTGGGAAGTTTTCATGAATCTTACAATTTTAATACAATGAATCAAAATCTTAAAAAATCTTCCTGGAATGGCAGCTGAATCTTCTTCAAAACTGGAGAAGGTACTACTGTATCTGAGGGTAGAAAGATAGTTTAGAAGGTATGCAGCAGGCCAGTTTTTTGAAGGGTGGGGATGAAGGGTGGGGATGCCACCCTTCATCCCCAGGTCTTCATCCCCAGGTCTCACTCCCTAGATGCAAGGCTAAAAGAAGGGCATCTTGCTATCAAGCCCTATGTGGGGAAGATAAATTTCAAAAAGCAGGTGGCTGGTGTGAAAGCCTCCCCTGCTTGAACACAGTGTCCTAGTCTGGGTCAGGTCTCTGCATGTCCTCTTGTAAGCAAAGAAAATGCAAAGCCAAATAAACAAAAATCCATAGCAAAGATTTGCACATGAGATATGTAGACAAAGCTACACATCTGCTTGAATACCTTTTCACTGCACCTCCCTGTGGTTTTTCCAAAGGTTCAGTTTCTCTATTTTACAGTAGACACCTACCGTAGTCTGCAATTCAACATGGCTTCCCCTCTCAATATTTCAGAGCTCCACAATAATTCTGTTATATGACAAATTATCAAAAGGATGTCTGCAAATCTGCTACCGCCCAGAGGTTAAGAAAGTCATAAGGCCATTTAAACAAGAGTAATGCAATTCTTGTGGAACACATGTATCCCTTGATTAAGCAGCTTCTTGTGACATGACAACTATTCATGGAAATACTTGTTTTTTGTAGAAATACAGATCAGAAAAATAAAAGGGCAAACCTTTTCTAGGAAGCAAGAGAAAAGCAAAAGGTAGAGACTCATCAGTTGCAGTGACAGTATCCCATATGGGTTGTTGTGGTGTCTCCCATGCAAAAGGTACAGGAACAGAAGAATAGAGAACATTTGACTTGGGCTTATCAGCCTGCTTCCTAGTTCATGACAGGGATGTGGACACCACACCTATAATACAAACATGTATGAAAGAAAGGAGCAGTTAGTACTCCAAATCCAGTAACCTCTTTTCCATGTTTTTCTTCTTGCACATAAATTCCCTGAGCTTCCCTAAATTTAGCTCTACCATCCTGTACACACTGGACAGCTTATTTGTGTTACTATATGTTTCATACTTCCCCTTAACCGTCCATCCATCATGCTGAAAAACAGAAATGTATGCCTAGATTTTTTTTTTGAGGCCTCCAAGTATATGGTTAAAAGATGGGGCAAAATAGTAAATATGGAAGCTTTTTGGAAAAGAAGCATCACACCAAATATAGAAAAGCTGGCCTTTGGAAAGCATAAACTTTCAATACCAGTTTGACATTACAGTAATGCACATATTCTCACAAAGGTTATGCCTGGCTTTCAGAAATTGACCAATACCATTATTGGAAAATACTTTTTAATGCTCAAACTTTATTCATGAAATGCAAACCAAGAGTTTACTTTTCTTTGCAAAACCTGGCCAACAACAGGGAGACATCCAAAGTGGTAAAAAGCAACAAAAAGATCACAGTGTTAATTTTGTGCCACTCACCTGATGTTTTGGTGCTAGCTTGCTTCCTCAGGAAGGGGAATTGTTACATGCAGTGTTAATATTAGCTTTCATTGAAACAACAGTGAACAAAATCAAAATATATATGGATGAACTTCCTTTCGACTGCATTTTGGAAAAAGAATTCCACCTGGTGCCCTGTCTGAACAGAATAACTTGCCAAATTAGATAGTCTAGATTATCATATTGCATTGTTCACAAAGAAGTTCCAAGGCTAGAATACACACACAGAATCAAAGTCAGAGTTCAAATCCAAGACATTTAAGGTACAAGAGTTCAGGTAAGAAAGTATTTCTTTTTATCAGCTAGATTTAGATCAGAAATAATTTGTAATAAAAGTTGCTCCAGATTTATGTAAGTAATTAATACACAGAGAACCCTGAACCATGAGTCTTGTAAGAGCAGAGTGTTGCAAATACTCAGAGCCTTGCCACTTCAAAAGAGAGAGCTTCTAAATAAAATTTTGCTTACTAGGCTGCTTTAGAGTAATGATATTATTTTCCTCGTCTTCATGTCCTTCTCATTTCATGTCACCTTGCCCTAAGTGATGTAGTGTTTCACTAAAAATATTTGTTTAAACTCAACATGCTCTGTGACCTTCCAGCAGCTACCCTTTCTGCTATGAATGACTTTATACAGCAAGAAAAATGTTACTGTTAAAGGGCTTCATAAATAAAACCCATTCATTTATATTACAATTAGCTACTGAAATCACTTTTTGGAACTTTATTTCTGGATATTTTACTGTGGCCAGTATTCACATATGCCTAAGGTTCAGAACTAGTGCTAAGAACTGACAAAGTTTAGTTTTGCTGTAGGTGAAAGTTACTTCAGAAAGCCATATCTCAGATGGAATGTATATAGAACGTTAAGCAAGTAAAACAGCATACATAGAAATACACATTTTTCCCTAGAAGACTTATTCAGAAACACACCTGTGATTTCTTGTTTTTTATATGATACTCTCCCTCATTTATGGGAAGAGGAGATTTAAGGTTTATATTCCATGGTTTACAACAATCTATATTTTCTTGTAGCATCTCAGTGTAAAAGATAATTTGGTCAAACCATAGTTTAACAAGCCAGGATATAAAAAAGATTGAATGCATCTAAAGTATTGAACATAGATTGCATGAACCCTGCCACAATTCCTTTCTGCTATGAAGCTTGCTGGGCATTTATAAGCCCTTTCAGAATGTGGACAAGGTTTTTGCATCTCTCACATACTTTCATAATCTCTTGACCCTTGCCTTTCATGACTCCTTTAAGCTAACCTTAGCTGACTGGCCAGACAGATCTGGGTATGGAGGACACATTATGTGATGGATTGATATCTGAAATTGAAAGTGCTGTAACTATTCCTGGAATCAGAGATTCACACTCATTACCTGATCACAAACCCTCCTTCTCTGGGAAAGGCACTTGAGAGAATGGTACTATCTCATCTGCAGGTGCTCTTAAAAAAAAGGATTATTTGAATCCATTCCAGTCTAGGTTCAGACTTGATTTTGGAACAGAATCAGTCTTGGAACAATGATTTCCTTTCACAGGAGACCAGCAAGGGGAATGTGACTGTATTACTTCTTTACTCTCAGCATGTAGAGTAAGTGACTGGTAATTAGGAGCATGAACTGAGATCTGAGAGCATCCTTAATCCAATCAAGTCTCCTTCAAGATGTTACTGTATGACCTTGGGCAAGCCATTGTTTCTCATATTCCATCTATAAAAACAATGGTGTATCTTGCAAGATTGTTATAATGTTCCATGACATCATGTAAAGCATTTTGAACACTTGGGGAAAAGAATTAAAATACTAAGTAGTAGTATTAGTACTGGACCACTGTTGCATCACAGCATGCTGCTGTTTGTGCATCTTCATATTTTTACTCCATGTACCTGGTTGTGTCCTGCCGTAGCTTAGTATCGCTCAGCCTTGGAACAAATTGATATAGCAAAGTCAGTAAGTAGACAGAAGCACTACCAGTTCAGGCAAGAAAGGGCAGTGCATAAGCAGGATCATGTCAGAAAACCAAGGAACAGCAGTTTGAGATGTCAGTCAAAGGAAAAGTTTGATTCAGTTACTGAGCAAGCAGCAGCTCTCAACTGAGAGTTTATAAGTGGCATTCTCACTGAGGACTCAGAGATAGCACCTCAGAGGCTTCCAGAAGAAACCTTCATCAGGAGAAGAGCTCTATTCACAAGTAGGTTTAAAAAAAAACTCATGAGGAGTCTTCTGTGAACAGGAGCTACTTGTATGAAATCTTTTTGCCTGCTCCTTAAGATGTTGCCTCTCTTGAGGTTGTCTCTCAGAGTCTGAGGTCTGCTCTGATGACAGATGGACTTGCAGCCTTCTCACCTGGAGGGTTAGGCCCTGCCTGTTCTTCTGACATGGTCTGTTCTTCGGTGATGTTTGTCTCTGGGAGCGCTGACTGGACTTCTGATCATGATTCCTTTAGTGGGGCCATGGCAGATTGCTACTGAAGGCTTCACAACCTCTCAAGCCTTCTTTTGCCTGTAGCACCAGGAACAAGTCACAATACTTTTGACAGTGGTGTTATATTATTGCTGTTACTGCACTGGTCTTGAAAACAGTGGTTTAGATGATGCAAGGAAAACTGATAGTCACTGTGCCATGCCAGCAGGAGGATCAGAGCAGCACGTTGTTAATTTTTAATAGTTATTTAATTATAACTCCTAAATCATTCTCTGTAATGCTGCCACCTAGTCCCTGGTCTCTCCCCATCTTATACTTATTCATATATTTCTTCATTTTTGTGTGTAACATTTTACCTTTCCTCTTCTTCTAGAGTTTAATTTATATTCCTCTTTGCATAACACTCCTGCTTATTAATGTTGTTTTTAAATTTTGAGCCTGCAGCATTCTTTATTTTCAATAGCTGGTCATTAAAACTGAAAGCTGGGAAGCATCCTGCGGGAGCATCAGCATCCTGTTTTGTGGATGAAATGGTAAAAACATGATTCTGGAGACTCACACCCTCTAGGCAAGGTGTTTGCTTCTGACAATAAGTGCATATCACTGAAACATTCCCAAGAGCAACATCTGATGCCGCAGTAATAAAACTAATAAACTTCTGGATTTCATTTCTTTTTGTGGATTAAATTGCAGCCATTCGGCACAAGGCATCAGTTTCCTAATTAATGCTGATCATCCCCATGAAGGCCTTAAAAGAGTCATTATTCATAACAGCATCATTTAAGCTCTATCATAAAAGTTAAGCAGGATTAAAATGCAAGTTGATCTAGAGTTCGTGTGTAGTTAATGTCTGTCTGTATAACATGGGTAAAATCTATTATGGGATAATAGTACTCCCAGATGGTGGGAACCTGTTTGCATCCCAAATTTAGAGTTGGAAAAACAGAAGGAAAAATAGATTTTTTTTCTTTAACCCTGATAGTTGGAGCTGATGTGGCACTGCTAATCTCCTAATAACGGTTAAAATATTTCAAGTAGCTATGAAACTGCATTTTTCTTTGATGTCCTTTGATGTAAATTTCACCTCCTTTCCACCATCTTAACTATGATTGCACATTATATAAGAATTAATATTAACTAGACTTTTTAAACATAAGTTTGAAATTATTAATAGAATTAGCCATGGTTAATCTTAGTTCAATGTAACACTATTACCATGTTAAGCTCAGGTCTTGGTGGCAGAGTCAGTGATCCTGCAGCTTACTCAAAATCTTGTAACCATCGTAAAAACTCACCAATGTAATAAATTTGTTTTGAGGCTGTCATATCCATACTGCATTCTGCATTGCAGACTTGAAAGTTCTTTCAGCATTAATGCTAATGAACAGTTGATACTTCCCATTAGGATGCTATTGTAATACATGAAGTATATGAAGAAGGGGCAGCTGCTAGAGATGATCGACTTTGGGCTGGTGATCAAATTCTGGAGGTAAGATTTCTGTTTAATTCCTAGCAGCTGGGGGTATGCATTGTACTGGCATTAAAACAAGCACAGGGCTAAATTACTAGTTTTATTATCTTGAATATTGCACATAGAAAATATGTGCCAGTTCTTGCTCTGTTTACAATAATGTTGCGCTCTGTGCCCATCTCTTGATTTAAGCTCTGAAAATTATTTCCAAAATATGAAAACCATGCATATATCAACTTCAAAGCAGAATTTGTTATATTCTGCAATTTCTGGTCAAAATATCAGCTGAAGCCATGTTTGTTCAGGCCACTGCATGGATCTTGCTGACGTTCATACATATTGTGTTGAGATGCTGTATCAGAAAGTGCTAAGGAAGAAGTTTGTAAGTATGCCTCTGATGACAGAGCAATTCAGGGGCTTTGTGTGAATCCCTCAGAATGAGCTGTTTTCCATGGATGATACACATCAGGGGCAACCAATCAGAAGGGCTCTACAGGTCCAAGTGAATATTGTTGTTCTTGGCTCTGTGAGTCCAGGACAGCATAAAGAATTAGTTATGACTTATTTTATTGTAGTTTAATTCAATATTTGAATCTGATACATCAAAGTCAGTTTATTGCACTATTGTAAACACAAAGAACATGCAGTCTGTGAAACAGGTCCCACAGTTACCATTCAGTTGTGTTGGAGCAGGTCTGGTTTCAAGCTGATTTGCATATCAACCACAGTCAAAAGCAAATAGGTAAAAGCAAAGTATAAAAACCATATACAGGTTGGTCCCAGGTTACAAATGTCCAGGTTACAAACAACTTGTACTTACAAACACAAAGACTGCTATAAACCCTATATGACTATCTCTAGAGAAAAGCTGTGAATATCTCTAGGGAACTACATGACACATTTGGTGATGTGTCATCAGTCTCCTCATAGTTCCCTACAGATATTCATGACTCATGACCATCTCTAATGAATCTATATCTCTATGGAATCATGACATGTTCCATAGAGACATAGATTCATTGGTGGCATGTTTCTCAGTGGCCATGCATTTCCCTAGAGATACAATATTCACAGCTTTTTGTTCTTCAGTGTCTAAACCTTAGACTACAGTGGTAACCGCCTCCTCTCCAGCAGCACAATCAAACCCTTACTCTTCAGCACCAGGTCTATTTCCATCATCATCAGTTAATGTTAGACTTAATGTTAACTCAGAATGTTCTAAGCTGTTTTAATAACTGTTTCTTTTTTCTTTTTACAATATCATGTACCTACACACATATATATAGATCTCTCTCTCTTCAGTACCTGTAGTTACATTATTATTACTGTTTTATTTGCATTATTTCAATGGTGTATTGCATTTAATATGTTATAGTGAATATGGAAGTGTTTCTGAAAGTGTTTTATATGTGTACAAAGGAAACTACATATATTAAGGCAAACTTTTGGCTTACTCATGTGATACAAGTTACATACAAATTCAGCTTAAGGGCATTCTCAGGAATGGAACTCATCCGTAACCTGGGGACTACCTGTGCAAATCCCTAGTCCAATAGTGACACAGCATCAGGGGATCGATTTCAAGTTAACCTAGTAGAACAGGATCATTCTGACTATTAATAGAGGGTCCTCAAGACAGACGAATCAGAAAGGATACCTGTAAACATCAACTACACCACCAGGGAGCTAACAACTCTATATACCAGTAATTCAGAGAGTAAAAAACTGATAATGATATAAGTCATAGAAAAGATTTTGACAATAGAAAGATTTGTCTGGCTTCTGCCACTTAATTTGCACATCACTGAAAGGAGTATTTTTGGGTGGTTTACGGCTAGGGTTATTATATGTGCAGTATCCTGGATCGGTTGATAAACCTATGCTGTTTTAACTATAATATTACCTTTAAGACCAATTTGAAGTTGCTCTAGTGGTCTTGTGTGCCATCTGTTGGAATCTGTAAAAATATTTGGTTGCATTTTGAATTACATGATTGCCATCTAAATTTTAAAGGAGAAGAACTATATTTGCAAAGCATCCAGAATAGTATGTTACATGGAGTAAGGACCACTGAATTCAGTTAAAGTTCCTTAAGAAGGATTAGATTGGACTGGATTGGATTGTTAGTCCTTCAGCTTCTTGAGTTTACAACCCTGTGCTTTGGCATAAATAATTCAGGGAAATTTACATTTTCAAGTTTTAAATAATAAATGAAGAATGGATACTGCATACATTATATTAAAAAGAACAATTAATAATGCTGCAGGCAAGGTATCAAGCACAATGTTAAGTGACCAACACACTGAAGGATATTGATTTACAGAATTTCTGTCTCTTTTAGCTTAAAATGATGGCAACCCAAAATGAAGCATCATGATCATACTGATCAGTAAATGAGAAGAAGGCATTAGCACAGAATGGGTTGATTTGGCAAGATACTAAGCCATACTTCAGGATTAAGAAGCCTAGGCTCTCCCTTCTGTTCTTCAGCATAGCTCCATGGTGAAATTCGGAAGCTTTTGTTTATATTTTTGAAATAAGAACAAACTGCCATTTGTTGTGTCTATCAAATCCTGCAAACTGTGGTTAATGTTAATTAAAGTTAATGGAAACATGCCAGCTTTGTAGTGCTTGTTTCCAACTGTGGTTAATCTGAAAGAAAAGTGGAAGCCTCTGATCTCACAGTTAACCAGATGTGTCAGCTCCTTTCAGCTTGGCTTTGGAAATCTAGTGCCTTGAGATTGAAAGTTCTGGGGTTTCTGTGTAGAGAAGGGATCCAACTCTTTCATATTATAGTCTGCATAGACAGATTCGTCTGCTCTGGAAGAAGAGGCTGAAGAGGAAATGTGGATAGAATCTTGGCAGTTTCAACATTACCTAGTGAAGATTCTCAAGCAGAGCATGAGAACCAGCCAACCTTAGAAAAGGAGGGAGACATTTCAGAGCTGTGGGGAGGAAATAGAGTTCCTTCCTCCAGTCAGGAGATGACAGGCAAAGCGAACAGACCAAATTATGTTCAATATTCCCACCATCTAGCCCTCAATCAGCAAGGGCCTCCCTGAGGGTGCAGTCAGAAACTGTACTGAAAGGAATGGAAGGAGGGGAAGTTTCAGTTTGAATTTAGCTCTTTACATGGGCAGACACTTTCCCCATATCTCAAGGAGGGTGCTTCTTTTATCTATACTGTTCTGTAACCTGCTAAGTTTTAATAAAAGAATGCTGCTTCTAAAGTCTGCTGAAGAGGGAAAGTGAGAGGGAAAGAGCTGCTCAAAACAGGCTGTATTGGGATTCTCACAGATTTCCTGTCTATATAATGTATAAAATAACCATTCGAAAATGTTATAGAGTTATCTGTTTCTTTATCCAGCAGAAAGCTTTCCTACTTTGAATATGTTGGGGTTTTGATGTATTGCTTTACTATACTGATGAAAATCCAAGCAACAAGGAGTACTATGACTATAATATGCTGTTCTTATTCCAGGTTAATGGCATAGACTTGAGGAATGCTAGTCATGAAGATGCTATCACAGCCTTGAGGCAGACACCTCAGCAAGTGCAATTGGTTGTATATAGAGATGAAGCCCACTATAAAGATGAAGAAAATTTGGAAATTTTCCATGTAGACCTACAAAGGAAAATGGGCAGAGGGCTAGGACTAAGTATTGTTGGAAAACGGTAAGAACTGTATTCAATAAGATCAGTTGACAATAATTTTATAGCAGAAAAGAGCATTATAGAGCTATGGCATTCAGTATAAATTTGATACAATCTGTCTTAGGGCCTAGATGAAATGCCTTCTGCCCAAGTCACTGCCCTATTTTCAGGGAATGAGTCTAGAACAAGGATTTTGTCTGCTTAAAGTAGCTGAAGATCATTGCCATGATTTATAATATGGTATTTAGAGTGGCAGTGGGTTCCTATTATATTTTCCCCTTCCATGTGTGTTTGTGTGGCAGGATGGGATTGGCATGAAATGATACGGCACAGCAACTGTCTAGCAGGAACTTCATTTTAGCAGTAACTTCACACACACACGTCAGACAAGGAAGGAGGAAACAGACTATGATGACACTGCTGCTTGACACCCTCTGTTAAATGTTAATGGGGATCCTTGGTTGTTCTGTTCTGCAAACTGAGGGCAGTGATGAAACTAAGGGCACCATGGTGGCAGTGGCTAGATAACTAGCTAGCTAGCTGCACAGTGGCCCCTGAATTCCCTATATACTTTGATTTGGGAAATCAGGGTTAACAGATGCAAGATGGAGAGTGGGACACAAGGCAAGCAGCGGCCAGGCATGGGGCAAATATCTGTATCATCATGAGGCAGTGCACAAGTTTTCAAGAGAAAGGAAGATGTAATTTGAACATTCATGAGTGGTCTGACTAGGACTAGGTTTTGTATAGAAACACAGAAACAGAGCGAGTCAGAAGGGGCCTCCCGGGCCATCTAGTCTGACCTCTGGCACCAGCCGGCTCCGCTCACGACATGCCCACCATGTGGACATCCAACCTATCCTTGAACACCCACACCGATGGGGCCTCAACGACCTCTCGTGGAAGCCCATTCCACACCCTCGGGGTCCTGACTGTCAGGAAGTGCTGCCTGGCATCCAAATGGAACCTTGGCTCCCTGAGCTTTGCTCCATTGGAGTGTGTCCTGCCTTCCTCTGCAGGGGAGAACAGGTCTCTACCCATCTCCATGTGACATCCCCTCACATACCTGTATGTCGCCAACAGATCCCCTCTGAGTCTCCTCTTCTCCAGGCAGAAGAGACCCAGTTCCCTCAGTCTCGCCTCATACGGCATCCCCTGCAAACTGGCCACCAACCTTGTGGCTCTACACTGCACTGACTCCAACCTGGCTATATCCTTTCTGTAATGAGGGGCCCAAAACTGAACACAATACTTCAATTGCGGGCGCACCAGAGTCGTGTAGAGTGGTAGTAATACCTCTCTTGATCTAGAAGCCACACTTCTGGCTATGCAACCAAGGGTGGCGTTTGCCCTCTTGACCACCGCATCACACTGCTGACTCATGTTTAGCCTGCAGTCAACCAGTACCCCGAGGTCCCTTTCACAAGTGCTGTTCCCCAGCCACTTGTCACCTAACCTGTACTTATGACACCTTTTCCTATGCCCCACGTGCAAGACCGTGCACTTATCCACATTGAACGTCATCCTGTTGTCTCCTGCCCACTTCCATAGTCTGTCCAGATCCTTCTGGATCTGGAGTACCTGCTCCTCAGTTGTGGCCACTGCTCCAGTTTTAGTGTCGTCTGTGAATTTGATCAGCAGACTGTTCACCCCTTCTTCCATGTCGTTAATGAAAAGATTAAACAGGATCGGCCCCAGGACAGAGCCCCAGGGGACCCCACTTATTACTGGCTGCCATCCCGATGATTCCCCGCTAATGGTTACCTTCTGCTTTCGGTCAGTCAACCATGCCCTAATCCACCAGACAGTGCTTTGGTGTATCCCAAAACTCCTCAGTTTATCCACCAGGATATCATGGGGCACTTTGTCAAAGGCCTTGCTGAAATCCAGGTATACCACATCCACTGCATCCCCTCCATCTAGCCATCTAGAAACCTTGTCATAGAATTCCACAAGGTTTGTCTGGCAGGACCTGTTTTTGCGGGCCTGTATCAGGTTGATTGTACAGGACTGCTATCTAATGTTGGCTGCTTAATAATTTAGGTGGTTTTACCTCTGGTCCAACATGTACAAGGTTGTTGTCTGCAGTTGAAGATAAGATTTGAAAAGGGTAGTTGTCAAAACCAAAACATTAAGAATTTAACAGCATGTATCTTATTAAGTGCCAACTGATCCTGGCTTTGGAAGTTGTGACTGAAAGACCAAGAGAAGTATGGGTGCATGACACCAAAGTTTTATCCAGGTACAATGCATACAGGGCTTAAGATCTTGGACACCTGGCAGAATGTGTTTATACTTCATTTTAAGGCCAGAATGTAACCTAAGTTTAGTTGTTACTTAGAAATCAAACATGATCCAACTTTCTTGACATTTTATTGCCATTTTAAAAATAAACTTAGTGCATTGAGTCTATTGTGTTACTTATCCTAGGCGGGATAAATCTAAATGTACTTTTGGGAATGGTAATTATCTTTTATGAGCAAATTGCATTTAGAAATTATTTTTGGTTGTACAATAATATATATATTTATTGCATTATTAGAAATGGAAGTGGAGTATTTATCTCCGACATTGTCAGAGGAGGAGCCACTGACCTTGATGGGAGACTAATCCAAGGGGATCAGATTTTGTCCGTCAATGGAGAGGATGTTAGGCATGCATCCCAGGAAGTGGTTGCCACCATTCTTAAGGTGCGGGGACGATAAATTGTTGAGAACTTATCAGCAATTATAAGCATTGCACAAGGGAAGCATATAATATTACTCAAGATGAACTATCACTGTTATGCTGTGAATTGGTTCTGTATAATCCTGACCAAATACTAAGAATTTTTTTAGGGGGGGAGGGAGGCATGTGGTAAGATCACTGAGGTGCAGGAGTGCAAGAGGTAGGCCCTTTTGGGAGCAATCCCAGCAATTATGCAGCTCTTTAGTCAAGCAGGCCTTGAAAACCTACTTCTTCAGTTCTGTCTTACCAAAAATATTCAAATGGCTTGCTTGATGCAGAATAACATTCTTCTAATAATCATATACCTTTGTGCCTAATGTATCTTTGTACCTTTCCTTTTATGTTTGGTGAGGGCACAATCATGAAAAGCATAAATACTTTGAAATAAAGAATATTATATGGGGTGAGGATCTTCATTTTCCTGACAATTCCTATAATAGGTGTTTTGACAAATTTAGAATTTGTGCATTTATTTGCTATATCTTGGAATATTTGTTAATGCAGTAAAAGCTGAGGGACCTTCGTCAGCTGTTATTCTTATCCCTTAATGATACAGCCACAAGGCTATCTGCATAGCTCTTCTTTCCTTACCATCATATATCCTGGCATCAAAGGCTGGGAGATGATAATGTAACAGCTTAATTTGCCAAAAGAAATTAATATAGCCATTAATGCTGGAGGCAGAGAGAGTTTTGATTGATATATATAAATGAAAGTTGTGCTTATATGGATAAATCTCAGTGGCAGATACATTTTTAGAAGAAATAATTGTACATTTGCTTACTTTGTAAAATATAGATTGGGATGGTTCCTCTTCAAATCATATGGACTGGGGAAACAAATGGTGCCATATGTAAAAAAAAGAAAAAAACTGTGTGCATAAGTGGCTGAAAAATGTCATCCTTGTGACACTAGTACAGCTTTCTCTGATCTAGTTCTACAGAAAAGGAGTTTTGACATAGAGAGAGCCTTAAGTATGCAATACTCTCATCTGCCATTTGAAATCATGCAGTCCATTGACACTGTATAGGTTGCTTTTTCAATATTGGAAATGGGCTCTTATTCTGGAAAGGAATTCTGCTTGCTGCCCCAGAGCCAGCTTTAGCCTCTGGATTTCCTAGATAGTCATGCTCCTTTCACCAGAACGCCAAGCATTTGGTGCTTTCTCGACTTTTGCAGTCTTTTCCCCATTCTAAAAGGTTGAAATGCATCTTCTAAGGCTTAGTTCCAGACAGTAAGAGCTTTCAGCTTGTATTTAAAATATGTGTAAAATACTAGCTGAAATATGACTGGTGCTTCTGACCTTGGTCCCTTATACCTTTTCCAGAGCTTCTCTGAAAACGAATTCATCTAACAAAAGTTCAACAGCCTTCCTTTGAAATAGCATTTTCAATTGTTTGTTATGATCTGTTAATGATTACTTGGAGCAAACAGGTGCAAGAAGAGATAAGCTTGATTTTGCCCAGGATATACCCTTTTCTAATAAATTAATGCATTATATAGAAAGCTATATTTGTTTCATATTCTAAGTGTGCTCAAGGGCTTGTGCACCTAGAGATTGGACGACTAAAGGCTGGCTCTTGGCTGTCATCACGGAAGACATCTCAAAACAGTCAGGTTAGTAGCAGATAGTATAATATCATATAGGAAATGGATGATATAGAAATCAGTTTGTGATTACTTTGCTTTATCATGTGTAATGTGGGAATCTGAGACAACAAATGTTAACCATTGATGCAACATAGCAACACTGAGGGACAGAACAGGGCTAAAAATCCTATTTTAGAAATAAATAAACATGTTTATAATTTACAAATAATGTTATTAGGCTCTGATATTTTAATACAATAATTGTACAAACAGTCATGCTCATTTGAAGCCAGCACAGTGGCTAACAAGCTTAATTGTAATAAAAAGCTTGCAAAACAATTAAATGGTCTCACTGAGTTGTCATCTGAAACTAGATTGCTTCTTGTAGGGTGGTTTGTTTGTTTGTTTTTTCCAACAAGCCACCCAGCAAGAAGCAGTCTAGTCTACTTTTCAGCCTTTCTAAACACCTGGAGTCTTGGGAGTAGATGGAAAACTGGGGGGCATTGACCCCTGCACAGGACCTCAAAACCCTGACAATCTTGAAGTGAAGATTTCTATCCCCCTTTGGCAAAGAAAGAAGACCTGTGCCTATGCTTTCACTTGGCAGCTCATCTTTTGACAGCTGTCATTATAAATTGAACCAAACCCTGGTCCATGGTAGGAGCCTGATGCCTTTTAACAGGCAAGGCTTCCCATATTTAGCCATGAAATTGCACACCTCCACAGTTGTACAGGTCTGACTAAAAAGAAAATTGTATAAATTTATTTTAAAAAGTGAGCATTTGGGTGCATTTTAAAATGAGGTGTCCCACCAGTGAAGCTGCTTCCATGTCCTACTTGGGCATTTTGAAGGGGCTGTCAATTTGGAGATCAGTGTTCATTATCTCCTGGGGAAAGGTGTGGGGGAGGAGAAAGGTGTGGGGGAGTCACATTGTGTGAAAAAGGTTGCTTGTGGTTGCAGCAGAGCAGGGACAAGGCTGCCTCTACTGCCAAGTCTCTGAGACACCAGCTGGAGGACTGAGGGGAAAGGAGGCAAAATGAACCCAGTCATCTTTGGAACACACAGTCCATTCTTCTCACAATAACTAAGTCCCTGTAGCTTATTGTTAGAGTGGGTTAGCATGAGGTGCAAACCTGTCTGCTGTATATGAAACACTCTGTACGGCTGAATTAAGGAGAGGATATAATATATTCTGACCTTAGAAAGCTGCCAAACAGTCACTAGAATTTCACAGGAAGGCGATGAGATTTTTAACAAAACTACTAGTTCTCATTTCTGTTTGCTGTCATTCTCCAGTCTGTCTGCCCATCTTTAGTGAATGCCCAGATGCCAAACCTTGACATCCATTTGGTGTTTTGCTGCATATGGACTATTGCACACGACTTGCACTGGTCTACATGTGTATTATTTCTTTACCTTCTTTCCTGCTAGTCTGAAAAATACACTAGAGATTGAAAGCTACTGCTAATGAATTTTCCATGCTCCCTGAGGAGCACTAATCCAGATTCTGCAGACATTTCATTAGCACTCTGTATTCTGAAAATCTATTTAGCCAGAAGAGTTTGAGGAGGGGTGGGGTCTTCTTTCAGACACAAGCCTTACACAGCTGTGGCTTTGTAGCCGGGATCCAAATATGAATGAGTGAAACATTTGGGAAAAATACTCTTAGAGTCTCAAACACAGAGGGGTAAAAGTTTTTCCTGAGAGTAAGTGGAAGAAGGAAGAACTGTGTCAAAGTCACAAACACAGAGACTTTCTGTGCATGCACATAGTCATTCTGACCGGTCTATCTTTCAACCTTTCAATAAGGGGAACACTTCAATAAGGGGAAAACTGCATATGATCATTATGCAGTTTTGCTTAACATTAACATGAGTAGCTATCCAGGAGAGTTCTTAGTAGCACAACCTTTCACTGCTTTGGGAAGTATCATCAAGTGGTGCAATGAGGATAGCACATTGCAGGTATTTTTGGTTTAGAAATACTGTGGATAATGCAGAAGAGATGCTGTAACCCATGATGCATGCAGCTGCCTTTGAATGTTTTAGCTGCTACAAAACACATTTTGGTTTCTTCTTTCACCTGACTAGTTTTGCTTCTAATTTTCAGATTAGCCAACACAGCGTTCATAGCCACTTCCACCCTACATTTGCTCCAGTTCTCTCTACTTTACAGAATTTTGTCAGCACTAAGAGATCATCTTCTGATTCCTCTCACAGGAACTCAGGTATGGAACCGCATGTGCAACCAGTAACCCTGCAAATTATACTAGAATTCAGTGCTTTTGTAATGTTTTGGCTCATAAACTTTACTGCTAAGAACACCCAAAGGCAGAAGAAGAAAAGGAAGACCAAATATGAGATAGATTTTATATATTGCGATTTATATCCTGCCTTTTTCCTACAAAGGGCTCAAGGCAGCTTACATCTTCTCTCCTCCTCCATCTTATCCCCACAACAACAACCCTGTGAGGTAGGTTGGGCTGAGAGGAAGCACAACCTTGAACTTTGCATAGAGGTGAGCAGGGCTGTGATGAACAGGGCATTTTGGAAGGTTTTTATTCATAGGGTTGCCATATGTCAGAGATGACTAGATGGCACATAGCAACAACATAAACCTCACCTTTGTTTGTTTGTTTCTGTGCGTAGCAATGCCAAGTAGTAATAACAGCATGAGGAAAAGCTCCAGGAAAATCCAGGAAAAGTGCATTTGCTCTGGAGAAGGAGGCTGCTATAGGACTAATCAGAGCGGTTGACCAGCATGATGGCCTGTATTAAGGAGGTTCTTAGCTGGTGGTAGAATGTGGAGTGTTTGATTATGTGGCTTTGATATGCTGACTACTAGCGCTGTGGTTGTTCATACAGCATGACAGCCCACTGTGGGCTATCTGAAATGCAGCTGCATGTATATCTCACACACACCACAACTTCACCTTGGATTATTGAAGCCATGGTGAGGCTTCTGTACATTTGGAGTGCATGCAGTACCATTTAGAATGGGCAAACACTGCTCAGTGGGTTACACGTCATGGGAACCCAGTGACAGTAATCCACAATTAAACCCACACTCATTGGGTTTACATGAAATAACATCCATCAAATAAGTGTTGCATGTTCAGCCTGGCACCTATGGGCACCATGGCTTGTTGTGGGCTAAATAACCCAGGATGAGCTGGAGTATGGCATCCAATCCCATTCTCTGTTTGAACCAGGCAAAAGCCTACTTGGGACCTCACATGCAGTTGCTCTTACTCACTAACATTAACTGCTGGCTATTACCACGAATGTTCAATAAGCTACTTGCACATTGGTCGTTCATCTTCCATGCCTTTACTAAATCTGGAAAAAGATCAGGCCAGGAGCTTCCTTGTCAAGTATATGATGTTTTGCCTAGATTAGCTGTCAATTCTATTTACGTACATTATGTTGTAGTGTAGATAGTTAAGTATTGTAGAATATTTATGCAGAACTAACCTAATAAAGTGAAATTTTAGCAAAGTCAATATATTGTCAGCTATGGACCAAATCGCTGTGCATTTCAGCTTGTGTGCCTGCACTTTAAATACTGAGTTAAATTCAGTGGAAGGTAGCACATTCAAACTCTCCCCAGTGCATATGGGATTCAATGTCTAGCAAGTGAAACTTTGAAAGGCAACCACAAACCATAGTCCTCTGATGGCATTATCTCTGAATTTCAGAAACTAATTGTTCATTTATTTTTATTTGGAGCAGACATGAGCCCAAGGACTGTAGAGATAACAAGGGTGAGTGAGTTTGTTCTCTTAACTTTTCTTGCCTTTTTCAAGCAAAATTCCAACTGTTGAAAATTTATCAACATTGAATGGGAACATACTGTTCGTAATTTTTATTTATAGCTGTAATATTACTATGTGAGGGGAATATTATCCATTGAAGCTTCCTCAGTCCTTCCATTATCTCACTTCAGCTTTGCATATGTGCATATTAGAAATCCTATGTTCTTTGAACCACATACAAAGGGATCAGTTACATATTGTACAATTCCTTTCTGTTCAGCAAATGACTATGGTTTCCATGGTGCCAAGGATTTCTCCTTGCACTGAGTT